TCTTCCTGATGCTGGCATCAAATTGCCCAGAGTTTTTTTGTTTTTGCTTTTTTGTTTTTTTCAGGACAGGAGTGTGTAACTTTTTAAGTCAAAGGTTGCATTTAGCTTTTGATGGTATGCTGGGAGCCACGTACTAAAAAGTGTGCAGGCCCAGAATAGATTTGATTTAGTTTTATCTAAACTTAAGCATTAACTATAATTATTTCTTCTCATGTATTTAATACTCAACCATCCATCACATTAAAAATTATATTAAAAATAATAGTCCCCTTTGTTGAAGTTATTACACTATAGCCTTTATTTACAGCATTAACTCTTAAGCTGCAGGTAATACAACTGTGCTTTTTAGATGTCCTAAATAAACTTATCCTACATTACTGGGTGGCTATGTATATTAAAGACATCAGCTAAAGAGCAAGACTCTTTTTTATTAATTGTCCAGCATTATTAAATAGTACAGGAAGTCTTTGACTTACAACCACTCTAGGAACCAGAATTTCAGTCCCTTAGCAATGCAGTTATTAAGCAAATCTTAATGTGACCAAACCCAATTTTACGACTGTTCTTACTGCATTTGTTAAGTGAATGATACAATTATTCAGAGAATTTGACTTTCCCCATTTATTTGTCGATTAAATTTTTTTTTAAAAAAAACAAGTTTTATTGATTTTTCAAAAACACACAAATCATCATTAACCATTACATGCTTAAACCTTTTTCCCTTATAAATTTAACAAGTCAGATAAAACCTTATTTTATACACTATAATTCTGTTTTAAACCATTTCCATATAAACATACAAAAACCTCTTATCCAATTTCTCTTTACTTCTCTTTACTCTTATTCAATTTCATTATTATTATTTCATCTATTTCCTTCTGACTTAGTTACCATTATTCTCATTCTATATTTCTGCAAGGTTTTATTAATTCTCCCAAAAAAAACATATACACACAACACACAAAACATAAAAAAAATCTTTTTGGAAAGTAACTTAGCCCCAGGTATCTCTCTCTTCATGGACTTCAGTTATATTCATGCTCATCTTACATGTCATTACTTATTTTATTTACCATTCTGAATCTTCTATATTAACTTCTCCACACATTTCACTCTTCTTAATTCTATCTTAATTAATCATCTTAATTTGAGTCATTATATTTGTATCTTTTGTCCATTCTTTATTGTCCCTTTGTCTCGTTCCTTATAAAAAAAAAAGAGTTTCTCCTGAAATCACTAATCAGAGTATGATGCCTTTCTATCTCCCCCCTAAATTAATCAAATTAACATTTAAAATAACACCCAATACCCAATCCGATTCTGCTTGGTACTTTCTATCTAAATAGTACATCCAAAATAATTAAATACATAGTTAAACAATAGATCTAAATATTGCATCTTATAACATTCCCATTGCCTTTTCCAAAAAACAAATACTATAATAAAAATTTTATAATAACATCAATACCATAATCTTATTAAACTCTTTAATTAAAACTCAATATTCTAAGCCTACCCTCATATTATTAAATTTTAAAACCAATCATTATTAAACATTTCAACATTTTAATCTCTTATCAACTCTTAAACCATTTAAGTTTTCTATTTCTAATACAATGCTACAATATCATCTTATGTACCTTGCAAAATCTTTTTTGAAGAAATTATACTTTACCCTTTATCCCTAAAAAAGATTCCTTTTTTCCCATCTAGTTCCAAAACTTTGTAGCTTTTCTCCACCTTTTCCCTTCCTTTCTTCTCCCAACAAACCTTTCTACCCCCGCTTCTTCTAGCCTCTGCCTTACTGGCTTCCCTTCTCTGTCGTGTTCCTTTTCCCTTTTGTTTTCTATCATTATATTGATTTTGCACCTTATTTTCCCCTTTCTTAAGTGTTGTTTTAAATCTTAAGTCCTTTATTTCTCTTCCTTTCCCTCTTCCTTCTTTCTTGGTCGAATTCTGAGATTCATTAAAAATGGCTTCCTCTCCTTCTTCTTCTTCTGCTGTCTTCATCTGTTGTAATGTTTGTTGATAGTTAATAAGCACCATTTCTAAAAAAAGGAAGGCTTCTTTCAAACCATCTTTACCATTTTTTTTTGCTTGCTCATATTCTTTTCTCAGTTCCTCAACAGAAAAAGCCATTATAAATCTTTTCTTTTCCCCTTCTTTCTTCTTACAACAACCAGAATATTCCAAAAAAATAAAATAAAACAGTCCCAAAGTTATCAATCAGTCCACACCAAGGCAGAGTTCTCACTTTCTCCTCCTGGGGTAGTATCAATCAAGAAAAAAGAAAGTCCAAATCTGTTTCTTAAAGTCTTATTACAATATATTTCAGTCTTCAAATCCTTAAGGCATCTCCTCCAACAAAGTCTTAGCATACGAATATTTTTTTTTAGTCCTCTCCCTTCCCACTCATCACTTAAATCCAGTTTTTACCTAAAAAAAAAATAGGTTTCTTAATATCAGCTTATTAATTCCGTAGGGAAGGAGAGTAAACTTTCCTTTCAGCACCACCAAATTGCCACTTTTTTTCTCTTCAAGAAGGTATCATTCAGAAAGTCATAATTTTCAGGAATTTTGTTAAATATGTCTTAGAGTCCTGGGAACCAAGAAAAACTTTCTCTTTTCAAAAACTTTCTCCACTTCCTCCTGCGCATTCTTACCCGGCTGCCAGCTTCTTTGTGGCGGCCATTACGGACCGCCGCTGCACCGTCTTGGGAAAAGGGGGTTCTGCCGGCTGGGGAGGGGGTCTGCAACACCCCCAAACCCCTCTCCGGATCCCCCCTATCTTCAGCTGCCCCTGCAGGGCAGCCTAGCTCCGGACCCGTCCGGATCGGAGCACCAAAAGCGGCTAGCGCAGCAGGGATCGCGCAGCTTCGCGAATCCCTGCCACTCGCGAAGCCGACAAACCGGAAGCCCTCAATGGGCTTTTTTTTTTTTTTTTTGTTGCCAGAAAGAAAGGTGAGAAACTAGCAAAAGCCACTAAAAATTGTGGTCATATGACTGCGGGACACTGCACACGGCTGTAAATGTGAACCAGATGCCAATCTCCCAAAATGGGATCACGTGACCAGGGAGTGGTGGCTTTTAGAACTTGGAAATCGGATGAGGTCGTAAGCAGCTCTGCAGAGGTCCATTTGTAACTTCAACCATTTAACCGGTTGTTAAATGAGGACTACTTGTAAAATATTTCACCCAGTCTTTTCTAGTTCTCTCTATAATTGGAAAGTATGCAATTCTTCAACATGATGCCTTCTAAATTTAAGTTTTTTTGGATGCACGTCACAAAGTATCTCAAAAATATCCTGTTAATTTGGACCTATATTTGCTACATTTTGTGTCTTTTTTATTTTAGGGAGCAATGTCTGCTTTCTTTCAGATCTTGAATTAATTCCAGCATGGCAGAGTATGGGATCTCTCTCGGTGAACAAGTGGCTGTGGTTTGCGATAGTTACGCCTCTCCCGAGGCACTTCAGAAATTTGTCCAGGACGTTCAAGCAATTATTGGAGCTGAAAATCAGGTTTCTGTAGAAAACGTCAATCAACTGCTTTATTGTGAGTGTTCAAAAGTACTCATTATTGTGGTAAATACATTTGAATTAAAGATAACATGTGCCATTTATAAAGGAGAATTCTTCATTGTTGTTAATACCTTAGAAAATTTATGCTAAGTCTTATGCTCTATGCAGGATGGTCCTTGGTTAACGATTGCCCTATTTAATGAGCATTTGAAATTATGATTGGTCCCTAATGAGGAGACTTATAGCAGGTCTTTGAACTTGTGACTGTCAAAGTATCCCTGCTGTCACATGATTGAGATTTGAGCACTTGGCAACCAGTGCGCATTCATGACTGTCACCGCATCCTCCGGTCACGTGATTGACATTTTTGCCCCTCGCAGCTGGCTTCCAACAAGCAAAGTCTAGAGAAGCCGGCAGTCAAACTGTAATTTGCAGTCACATGATGTCCCACTTAATGACTGTGAGTGACTTGCTTAACAATGCCAAAAAATGGTGTAAGTTGGCACGGTCACATGGTGTTTTACTTACAGCCATGTTGCTTAGCAACACAATTAGCAATTATTAAGTGTGGACTTCCTGTAGTTACAGGTAATAACTGCTCAGACACTGTGTGTTGAGATTATTCCTTTAGTCTAGGACAACAAAGAGTATCGGAAGGGTGCTTTTTTATTCAACAATAATTAAAATAGTCTATCCAAAATACATCCCCCTGACAGCACACGGCCAAAATAAGTTTACTGATAAGGAATACTCCAGCTCACCTCCTTTCTGTTGCCTCTTACCGTATTACCAAATGGCAATATTCACGATCAGGTCAAAGTTAACGACAATTAACTTCTCAAGAAAATAAATTCTTTTTTCCATCTGAACATCTGATTGATCTGAAGACATTTTAGGTAGCTATCCACACAACAGAAGGACAAAGGAAATGTATAAATGCAGATAGATACTGAAAGTTACCAAAGAAATAACATGAACTGAAAAAAGAACCTCATAAAATGTAGGTTAAAGCTCATTGTGATAACCTCTATATGAAACCCGAAGGAGGTGGAAAGGCAGTGGCACTCTGGATAGGAGGGCACAAAACTCATCAAAGATTACATCAAAGATCTACCAGAGAAACCTCTTATGTTGTTCCTCATAAATTTTATGAGAAACATAATTTTATATAGGGTTCAAGGAACTGAATGTGGTCCATAACAATATAAAATAAGAGGCCTAGTAAATGAGTCAAACTCAAAGTAAGCTGTATCCAACTGATGGGTAAAAGGTTCACCTGAAGACGGAGGCTCAGCCGTCTCATCCAGAAAGACCAGAATCAAGGCAGGCAAAGCACATTCATAACAACCTCCACAGCAATATTTGGCACAGAATAAGACAACCTTCTTTGTGCAACTCAGGGTCCTTGGTTGGGAATCTGGATCTTTCCTCAATTTGTAAAAAGCTGGAAATAATCCTCTCCACAACAGTTTTCTAAGCTTGGAAGCAGTTTACCAAGTCATTCTCACTCTACAAACAGCTATTTATTGCATGGAAGTCATCAGTGACAAAAGCAGTGTTTTTTGAACTTGGTAACGTTAAGCTATGTAAACTTCAACTCCCAGAATTCTGCAGCTAGCATGTTGCATACATGCATATACGGGTAGGTATAATTGGTATATGTATGTGCTTCCCATTTTATTTTCTCAGCCTCCCACAAAGAGTCCAGCTTTGATGTGGTTCTTTCAGGACTGGTTCCTGGCAGCCTAACACAGCACAGTGCAGAGCTTCTTGCTGAAATAGCTCGGATTGTCAAGCCTGGAGGCCGTGTCCTTTTGAAAGAAGCAGTGACCACCGAAACAGGTACCGTATTTGCCGGCGTATAAGACGACTTTTTTGCCCTGAAAAAGATGCCTCCAATTGGGGGGGTCGTCTTATATGCCGGGTCGTCTTATACGCCGGCAAATAATAATTGGGAAGCACTGCGGCTGCCCGCGGCTGAGGCACTTTTGCGCACCGTGGAAACGAATCCCGTGAAGCTGAAAGGAGCAGCCAGCCTTCTCCCAGCTCCCAAGGAAACGAGGCTCGCACCGCCCGGGCTCCGCTGAGGTATCTGGCTGGGGCTGTCAGGAGTTGTTACCGCTGGCGCGGCTCCGCGCGGCTCCAGTCCCGCGTTGCCTCGGGAAGGGAAAGGCAAAACCAGGAGCCGCTGCTGCCATTGCAAAGTGCCACCGCGGCTCTTCCTTTTTGCCTTTCCCTTCCCGAGGCAACGCGGGACTGGAGCCGCGCGGAGCCGCGCCAGCGGTAACAACTCCTGACAGCCCCAGCCAGATACCTCAGCGGAGCCCGGGCGGTGCGAGCCTCGTTTCCTTGGGAGCTGGGAGAAGGCTGGCTGCTCCTTTCAGCTTCACGGGATTCGTTTCCACGGTAGACAAAAGTGCCTCCAAAAAAAAAAAAAGTGCAAAAGTGGGAGGCGTGCGGAAGAGGGGGCGAGTATATAACAAACTATATTTTGAGTGGAAATGTTGGGGGGTCGTCTTATACGCCGGGTCGTCTTATACGCCGGCATATACGGTAAGTCTTTAGTCCTTCGCTTACTTCCAGCCATTAATTGGAGCTCCATCACCTAAGCCACCCTCACTTTTGCACTTGGGGAGAATAAAAGGCCAGTGCAAACTTGGTTGATTTAAACACACTTGCACAGGTAGTCTTCAACTTACCACAGTTCATTTAGTGACCATTCAAAGTTATAACAGCACCCCAAAAAAGGGACCTACGACCGCTTTTCACATTTACAACTATTGCAGGATCTCCATAGTCACGTGACCAAAATTCAGACACTTGGCAACTGACTCATATTTAGAACGGTTGCAGTGTCCCAGAATCATGCAATCACCTTTTCTGACCTGACAAGCAAAATGGTGGCTCAGTGATTAGAATGCGGTACTGCACGCTGCTTCTGCTGACTGTTCGATTCTGAACAGCTCATGGTTGAACCGCTCAAGGTTGACTCAACCCTCCATCCTTCCGAGGTCAGTAAAATAAGGGCCCAGATTGTTGGGGGCAAGAGGCTGACTCTGTAAACCGAAGAAGTCAGTTTCACTTAACAACTGTGTCACTAATTTAACAACTACAGAGATTCACTTAACAGTTGTGACTGGAATGGTTGTAAAATGGGGCAGATTTTACTTAACAAATGTCACTTAGCAATAAAAATTTGGGGCTGTATTGTGATCATAAGTTTAAAACATGGTATATGGGGAAATCCTTTGAGAGGAAAGATATATACTTCAAAATGTCATTTATTTTTGAGTTTGGCCAGCGTTTGATGGTTACATAGACAGTGTACATCTATGGAGTTTTCTTAACAATAGCCTCCAAATGGGCTACAACTTCTCTTCCAAGAGGTGTTTTTGGCTTTCCAGA